CCCCCCCCCCCCCCCCCTCCTTGTTGCACGATGGAGCAGAAGAGTATCTCCTGAGCATTGACGACGGCTCAGAGGCTAGCAGGCTCATGCGAAGGATTGCCCCGCTGCTGCGGGGAAAACTTAGCATGCGGTGAGTTTGAGGGAGGAGGAGGAGGAGGAGGAGGAGGAGGAGGAGGAGAGAGGCCCTGTGGTGATTTGGGGGCGAAGCATGCCGTGTTGTGCTTGCACAACGCTGTCGGGGCAACGCGGGTGTGCTTTGTACTGATGGACTGTCTTTGTGGAGGTGGGGGGAAGAGGGAAGAGAGAGAGAACGGGCGCTGGGAGGAGAAACAGCGAGGCAAGAGAGACGGAGATACATCCAGACTAGCAGGCGGAGAAGCGCAGGGAGGCGCAGAGAGAGAGAGAGAGAGAGAGAGAGAGAGAGAGGCAAGCAGCAGGGCAGAGAGAGAGGAGAAGGGTAATCACTCACAGGAACCCAGAAGGAAAGTACGTAGGCAACCAATACCAAAGACGTTGGAAGAAGAGGCAGCAAGAGATAGACATGCACACAAGAGAAAAACAAGCACGAGGCTTTTTTAACCTCTTGCGAAGCAGACGAGGAAAACGTTCCCTCCCTCGTGCTCGTCGGCCTAAAGCTTGAGGGAAGGAAATGCTTCGCCTGCTTCAGCCGGTAGCAGTGACGGCACGCCTGCCCTTGAACGGCTAACACCAGGCGGACAAGCAATTGGATGTGGACCGCGAGCAACGCTTACGCTGCACCCGAACCTGCCGCGTGCGTGGTGTGCTTGCTCGCCATGGATACGTAGAGGTACTACTACATCGGGCGACCGCGGCAAATTGGGGACGAGGGGAAACAACGATTTTCCCGTTGCCACCGGAGTCCCTACAGCCCTATCGCTTTCCACAGGATTTGTTGCACTAGCCGCCGCAGCTCTAAGTGCCCCTAGGTTCACTTCGCGAGGACAACCCGCTGTTGATATCCCCCTGTCTGCGCGCCCCCCCGCCCATCCTTGCGTGTTGACGCCGCAGCGAGATCGTCTGGCGCCTCGAGATGACAAGCACCGCGTCCTTGGGGCTTGCCTTGGCCAAGCACGAGCACATCCTGTACGAGGTGTGGCGCCCCGCTCGAGACCCAGATGCGGCGTAATTTTGTTGTTGTTGGTCCTATGTCGGTGCGGGTTGTCGGCTTTAGTCAGGAGGTCCTTGTCTTAGGCATATTCTTTTTTGTCGATCGTTTTGCGGTGACGAGCAGGTTGAGAGCTGTGATCGCCACTGGAATAGAGAGAGGTAGGTAACTGTCTTGAGAGTTGAGCTTGGACACGGTCTGATGCGTTGAATGCGCTTGGGGGTGAATTAGTGCTCACGGGCCGCGCGCTCTACTCGTTTTTGCTTTTCGCGGCAAAGTCGAAAGCACGCCCCACCGACGGAAGCTTGGGGTGTGCCTCGGGTACAGTAGTAACCTAAGCAGGTGTTTGTTATGCGAACTTATTGGATGGAGTATGGAATCGGGGGAATTTCCGGGTTTACGGTAACGGTAACGGTAACGGTTTGGGAGTACATAACCCCTCCGTCTCTGCTCCACGGATAAAGCTCTATTTCTTCGCGTGGGCACTCCCTCGGGTGGAAAGGCCCGTCTTCCTGCCCTATATACCCCGCCCCGTCTTGAGTGGGGCGCGGAGGTGGCGAAACGGCAGGGACCAGGCTGGCGCGTAGAACAGACTGCTGTACGGAATCCCTGTGAAAATGGATTGGCTACAACCAGGAGGTAGTCGATTGCTGTTCTAGATGCGGGTTGGGGCCAATCGGGGGGCGCGGGCGGCCCGAGAACCATGTGCGTTGAGGGTGTACCTCAAGCGTTTTGCAAGGTTTAAGCGCCGCGTTCCAGGTACCTGGGGGGAGTATGCATGCAGTACTTCTATGTGGCATTGGGGTATTCCTCCAACACGTGCGCGTCTGGTATTTTAAGGTAAGTGGGTACCCAGTCGGCTCTTTGAGTGATCTGGAAATTTGGGCCCAACCCCCCCCCCGCTCCACGGAGGGAAAAAGAAAGGTACAATCCGTAGGGCCCCTGGTATGTTTCCCGTGGTTGTAGGACGCACGAAACTTTGAGAACAAATGTTCCTCGGAACACCTCGAGGTGTTTTTCATTCTTGTGCACAACCGCCTGCGGTCTGTAGGCCTGTTTTGGTAGGGTTGGGGTTCTAGAGATTTGGTCGGTGGGGCTTTCCCCGTCCGCCTTGCATCCCGCGGCCAGGCATGCCGGCGCGTTCATGACGCTGATGGCCTTGTTGTTTGGAAAAATGGCATACTCCCAAGAGGGGTGTTGGAGGTCCAATAGAGGCCGCCCATCGGGGGCACGTGCCACCAAGGCTCGGTGCGCAGCGTTTGACTGGCTGGGTTGCTGTACATCGTGTTTTCCGTTGGTGCTTCCCTTTGCCCCCCCCCCCAGCTTGCTCACCGTTACGGTGTTGGCCTCTCTGAATAGAATAGCTTAGATCCGGGGTCGCACACGGAAAGGCATTCCTCTTGTGTGGAAATATGGTTTGGTTGTGTCTGCGTCTCTGAAGGCCGCGGGATTTTCAACTTGCCCACACACGCGTTTGGGGGCTTCCACTAATAGGACCGCCTCATCTGCGGGGGGATCAACCAACCACATTTTGCGCAGCGGTTCCTTTTTTTTTTACAGCTCCCTGCTTCCATAACCCTACAATTGGTTTTCGAGAGGAACGAGTAGTAGTTGCCCGCCCAGCCATATAAACGTCGCGTCACAAGTGGATCATAGGAGGTGTTACAGGCACGCAATGTCTCATGATGGAGCTCTAGCGCCTCGGTCGGGAGCGATCCAAGGAGGCCCTCACCCTCGTCGAGCAGATGTTTCAGTTAGCTGACCTATGGAAATCATCCTCAAGAGTGCAAATGTTTAACGTAGCGATTTTGTACGGGCAAGGCTGGAGCTTCTTCCAACCCTTTCTTCTGCGATGCAATAAAAAGTATATGCCCAACACGCAAATCTATACTCAACGACAAAACAACCGGCGCGCGAAATGCGACAAGGAATGCGGCTCTACAGATACCCGAACACATGTAAAGGCCCTACGTTGAACGCAATGCGATTGCAAGCGCTAGCTATAGCTTCCAAGAGTATGCCAAGGAAATCGCCGGCCATGAACACGGACGGCGTCCGCGTCAGTTGGACTGTCATAGTATAGTACGGACACTATTAGGTACTGAGCGGAGACCGGAACGGTTTATATTATTGTGAAAATTACAACAACCACAAAAATACCGTACCCATAGACTACAGTAGACCGTCCTCAACCGAGTTGTGGTGTCTACCGCTCGCAAGAGTTCGAACCGGGGATGGGCGTACCATAGGTAGGTGCCCCCCCCGCCCCCGCCCCCGCCCCCGGGAGACAGAATCTCCATATGTTCAGAAACCATGCGTGTCGACGTCGTCGTGTGGTGCCACTACGATTTGCTGGTAGATACTTCGAAGGAGGGCCCACTTGCACCCAATAATTACGCCGTTGGAGTACCAATGAGAAGATTGAATTCAACAGCTTCAGCTGCGCCGGCCCGCTTGCTTGATGTGGGCCTGCGCCACCGTGTTGACTGCCTGATTCGCCGCGTCCTGAATAGCATGGGTCACGCTCTCCTGTTTATTTTTCATCCAGGGCCTGATGTACTGGAGATGGAGACACCTGGCCGTGAATGAATGCCATGTCGCAATTGATTGGCGGGTGTCTCGACAAGGTGAAGGACGTGCACATTGGTACCAAAACAGAACATGATTGATTTTAGAAAGTGTGTCCAAGTCGCACATGAATTTAATGTGCCATTCAGATCATGCCCATCAAAGGGGAGGTACAGAGTATGTTGTCGGTACACAGTCAAGACACGGACTATTTTTTCGACCTCATGATTGACAGCGGAAATAAATATAGAAATGGATACTTGAATTTTTGGGGATGTTAAACCAAGGCGAGCACCGCGGAAAGCGCCTGGATCGAAAGTGAAACAAAATTCCTGTGCGGTACAAATATCCCTCCTGGGTGAACACGGCCATGTAGTGCGTCCACATAGTCAGTACACCAACGGGTGTGTACTTTGCCTGGTGAAGGGACAACGTCCACATACATACATGCGTGGTACAATACTGGGCGGTGTGTCAAGCAAGCCGCTCTCATTGACTCATTGACTCACAAAGTACATACCAAAGAGACTTTCACTGCCAATCAATTCCGGTCAGACGGGTCTCACCGAGACAATATTGAACACTCCTGCAGGCAGCATCAGCCGCACACTCTCACTACAAATAACGCAGTGAAACAAAGATGAAGATCATCAGTCGAATGCAACGAATTCGTCCCCGGGGCGGTGCTCCACTAACCTTACTATCGGGATGCCGAATGCAACCCCGAAGATTATGGCAAGCATGTAGTACACCAACGATGCCGCCATTCTGCCAGTCACGCCACCACCGTTGGATCAATGCCAGTTATCACGTATCCCGTTGAGGTTCTTCTGTTGGTGCCGATGTGTTGATGTATGTAGGTCGTGTTTGGGTGGTGCCCCTAAGTACTGCTGCGGTACTACCTGTATCCGCCGTGCTGATGAGCGCAATGCGTTCCTCGTGCTACACAGTAGCGCAGCAGCAAGTAAAAAAATTCTGGATATTGTTTGGCACGTGGCCAGACGATCTCTATCTTGTAACCGAAGTGACCGACCGTACGTACTTTCGCCCAAGTGGCCTGTCCATTCGCACAAACCATTTTGCCGCTGACAGTGTTGCGCGTCGAAAAGGTGGGTTGAATGTATCGCGGCGAAATTCGTCGAGCACTCCTAATGACCCTTTTGCGAACCTTTGACCCATGTTTCAGACGCTGTCTTTCAGCCAACATGTACGGACAACCTTGTCTCTGCTTCTGTCTCTCTACCCCTCTCGAGAACCCTGGTGTACGGACCGCGCATAGGGACAAACTGTTCGACATGAAACTCTGCGCTTCTTGCTTCTTGCTTGGTTCGGCGGTTACAGTTTTTCCCTATCCCACCCTTAAAACCCTTACCCGATCCGCCGTGCCCCCTACCTCAAAACACAAAACACTGCAAAACTGGAGACCTTTTGCACTCTGCTGCTGCTGTGTGTGTGCTCGCAGAGAGACCGGGGTTGGACGGCACGGCGGGAACAACACGAGAATGGAGACGGAGGGACCATTCATCAAAGTGCCCATTGAATGTGTCAGCCAGGTCTTCCGCAAGACTAGGAAAACGGTGAGCGAAACTCACCTCAGGAACTTGCCGGGGCAGGATACTGGTGCTGTCTATTGCTGCGTACTTGCAAAACATAGACTATGCATCGAATAGGCTACCTTTTGGGACGTAAGATAGCACACCCCCTGGACCGACTTTCAAAGCTCGAGTACTCCACAGCAGAAACAGTGTCAGTGTTGAAAAATGGTTGCGTTGGAACTGTCTCGCCCAGAGCTTCCCCAAAACATATCGTGGCGTTTAGATGGATCATCTTCATCGTGTAGTAACCGAGCTTTGCAGTTCGGTCCGGAGGGTGTGGTATCTATTGGGTCGCGTTCGGTTGGTCGCAAGGGTTGGGTAACGGTTGCTTCAAACACAAAGGCACGGCACCACAATGTTGCAGGTGCTACCTCTATGCTCGCACCACGTTATCCCACCGGCTGCAGCTGCGTGCGGATTTTTGTGCCTCCAACTTTGCACTCTCGGGGTTGAAGTTGATGTGCCCCTGCTGCGGGAAAACTACAGCGCTGCTGTACAGAGTAGGTGGTGTAAAGTAGGTGGTGTATGAGTGCCGTCCATTTCTTCTTGGCCGCCGGAAACATCTGCTCGAGGCCAGCCTGCTGTGTCTCGGCGGGAATGGAGAGGCAGGCACTGCTGTGGTGCGAATCAGCTGGACGTAGAATCCTCAACTTGTGTTTGTGAAAACAGCATTTTTCTATTGGCAGTTTTCTTCTTGCGGTTCACCCTGCTGCCAAGTGCAGCAGCACGACGCCGCCTGCACCGAAGACGAACACGCCGCTGGAAACACAATCAAGCACTTGCTCCGCCAACAACCGGCGGAAAGAGCCGACGCCGCCCCACAGCGGCGGCAAGCCAAGCCCGTCAGCAATAACGCGCTGCCTCTATTGTTGCTGCTGCTGCGGCGGTTCGCCCCGCCGAGGCTGAAGGGCAACCAGGTGGGCAGCGGCAGGCAGGTCCAGCGCTGAAGGGTTAGGTTAGGGTAAGCCAAGCTAGACGTGCACCCAATGGCTGTCGATCGGACCCTGCAAGACCTTGGAGCAGTGGTCACCATAGCCGGGGGAGCAGCCCTCCGCCATGACGAACCGTCAGGTTGCCGACCACCCACCTCGCCGCCGGCCGGACGGTTGCCGTGACACTGCCGTGTGCTTCTGTGTGTGCTTCGCGATTCAACCGCTCGTCGGGGGGTCGGTCTCTCAAAATATATGTATCCGTTCGACCATGTGGGGGGGTGGATGATTCGAGGTCGCGCCCCATCAATCCACCCTCCCCGTCGACGAGGTGACCTATTCGGCGGGACCCCCTGAGAAGCGGTTGATCGCGAAGCGCACACAGAGCAGCACACGATTTTCGCGACACCCCCTGAGCGGTTGATCGCGAAGCACGCACAGCAGCGCACGAGTCAGGGTCGCGGCAGCCGTCGTGCAGTGGGTGGTCGCCTCGTTGGCCGCCGCCCCGGTAAACTTGACGGTTCACCATGGCGGGGGTTTTGCTCCCCGGAGGCGGCGGCGGCGGTGGTGACCACCGCTGCGTCCAGACCTTGAGAGAGTGCCCGCCTGGCGGTCACTGCTTGCTCTTCCGGCTCGGCTGACCTTAATCTTAAACCTTTGCAGAACTGGGCTGACCTGGCGGTCGTTGCTTGCTCTTCTAGCATGGCTCGCACTCTTGCAGGACAGGGCTGACCTGACGATCATTGCTTGCTCTCCTGGCATGGCTGACATTAACCCTAGCTCTTGCAGAACAGGGCTGCCCTGGCGGTCATTTCTTGCTCTTGTAGCATGGCTGACACCCTTCCCATAACCCTCGAAGAACAAGGGCCCGCCTGCTTGCGATTTTAGCTTGGCAAGGCGAACGGCCACAGCAGAAGCACGTTGATGCTGACAGGGCTTGGTTTTTGCCGCCGAAGCTGTGGCGAAGTCGGCCGGTTTCTCTCTCCCGTTTGGAGCGGCTCTCGCACAGGCACCAACGCACCCTTGAGAAAAAATTTGAAGCCCACCAAACGGACAATGAATGATACATGCCCAAACCAAGAACTAGGAATTAACAATTGCGTTGAGTTATTTTTTGTTCTTCGACTATTCAAAGTATTTGGCTACAGGCGTATGGTACGTACGAAGGAACACAGCAATGGTGACACGGAGTGTAGGATAGACGATGCCGTCAATGGTCGTTCAGGTCGAGACATGCACCGAATGAGAGCGGCCGCCCCCACATAATAAAAAAAGGCCAATTCTTGGGATTCACGCCAAAGCGGAAGACGAGCATTTTTATTTTTCGGTAACGAGGGACCGGTTTTCAATGCCTCAGGTGGCATCCGTGGCCAATAAATGTCCCATCCAGACTTGCGTACTACGCTTGAATATCCAACACTGGTTTCACGATGTCAATCACTGAACCTCTCACGTAATGGATCGAGAGACAAACCGAAGTGAAACATGCTTTCTGTACCCGCCTCAGGTTACATCGGAGCTCACGGCAATAATCAAGGAGATCAGCAGTCTCGAGGCAGCAGGGGCGGCGGCGGGTGACACCGATGGTGACGACACGAGAAGAGGCGAAACCGCCGATAGCGGCGGTGAAGGTGAAGGTGACGCTTCGGCGAAACTTGGCGAGCTGATGGACCGCCTCACCAACCTCAAGGCGACGGTACGCTCTTTCTGACTGTTGTTGTTGTTGTTGTTGTTGTTGGTGGTGGTGGTGGTGGTGGTCGTGTTGGTGTTGTTTTTGGTGGTGATATGTTCTTCTTTACCAAACCGTGCCGTTACCTGAAGTTGACATGATCGGCGTTGTCGTACATCCGTGAAATAAAGAAGGCATGTGCGTACACGTATCTCCCGGAAAAAACACACCTCCACCTCCACTGCGACGGTGGTTTCCAGGCCCAGGAAGCAGGGCGCGAAGAGAAGAAGCACCTGACGGGGTTGAGAAAACGCCTCGATCTTCTGGCGCAGCCGCCGCCGCCGCCGCCGCCGCCGCCGCCGCACCTGACCGGAAGTTCCGCCGTCGCGTCGACCGCGGCGGCGGCATCGTCCTTCGCTGTGACAGAGTCTCCGGGGGGCAAGACGCGGCTCGACCGCTTCATCGTGGAGTACCTGCTGAGAGAGGTAGGTGTGTACGCGGAACGTGCCGTGAAGAGAGGGGTTTCGTAGAGAATACCGCATGTGCCTTGTGTGGGTCCGATGCAGTCCAAGGCACCGCCCGAGCGACTGCGTGCCGACGACAGGTACTGTGGTCGAAGACACCCCGCGAGCCGCCACTCACGTGAATGGCCGGGGCAGTGGGGGGCGTCGGTGGGTGTGTATGCCATCTGCTCTCGACAGGGCAATGCAAGCAATGCAAGCACCGTGGTCGTTCGTGTCTTCAGTCCCGGCGTCGTCGAATACCTTTGCAAAGGGAGAGAGAGAGCAAGTTCTTCGCGCTGGTTGGATTGCGATATTTCTATTAGTAGACGCACGTCTGTTTATATTCGGTATCAGGGGGTTGCTGTTCGTGTCTTCTTCAAGTCGCAATCTCCGCCAACCCGCAAGGTCGTCTCGTACCATTCTCCGTCACCCCCTCCCGCCTAAAACACGCGATATGTCAAGTTCTTTGGCGGCGGCGACTGCAGAGTGTCCGTTAGGCATGCATGGTACCCCCCGCCCCCCCCGGTGTTTGTCATCGGGGTTGGGTTTTCGTCGCTTGGCAACGACGTTGTAAAACAAGCCCCCCACTCGGTGTTTGCCATCGGGATTGGGTTTTCGTCGCTTGGCAACGACGTTGTAAAACAAGCCAATTCACTTCGTGAACTCGGCAACCAGGTTACCGTTTTTTTTTTTTTACCTCGTTTTTTTTTTTGGCGGTAACCATAATGGTGGTCGAGTAGATCATGTTGTGCGGGGTCGAGAAACCTCACTCCGCGCAACGGGGGATGATCGCACCACGTTATGTTAAAATGGTCAAGCTTCCTCGAGGCAGTTACACAGTGCTTACAACTGTCTCTGGAAGTGAACGCACCAGAAAATAAATTAAGTCATACGTAGCTGTCATCCGTACGCAAGGAAGTAAGCACAAGATGCCGAACACCCTTAGCAGGATGCAGCTCACCCTTCATGCGACTCGCCAAATACCTCACGGCGCTTCGCGCTTGGTGATGTGAGAGCCTGGTCCGGTGAGAACCCGGCGTGCTCCGTCCCGGCTTTGTAGGGATGCGAGGTCAATGGTCAAACGACTACGGCATGCACGACTATGAGTACACCCCCCCCCCCCCTGCCAATTTTGCCTGACTGCCCGGGCTGGATGATGGCGTTGACAGGGGCACTCGGAGGCTGCCCGGGAACTCTCGGAGGAGGCGGGCATCCAAGACTTCGTCACGATAGAGCTGTTCGAGAGGTGGGGGCGCCGTTTGCCTGATGAAGCCGCTCTCATCTTGACTGCTGTAACGGTTTCGTCTGTTTTGGAATCGTTGCCTGGCGCGCGCCGCTCATGGGTTTCACGATGATGCCCGGCGTAATGGAGGGGAAATATGGCCTTGGGGACGTTTTAACGCTCGTTGCGTAACACGTCTCTCTCTCGGCGTGCTTTTTTTTTAGGTGGGGTTTTTCGGTGAACAGGTGGATCGATGGCTGGTGCACAAGGAAACACGCACGAACGGTTCTCTCGAACAATTTTTCACTGCAAACGACATAGACAGGGGTATATGACGCAAACAAAACAAGAAGCGCGGTGTATCTGTGTATCTCTAAGTTTTTTTTTTTTTTTCCACCACTGCAAGAAGATGCAAGATCAATCACCCTTGATGTGACACCACATTTTTTTTTTTCACCACTGCAAGATGCAAGATCAATCACCCCGATGTCGTCATCCCGTTTTTTTTTGTGTGTTTCTCCTGTGTATTTTTTATTCAGGGCAAAGGAAGTGGAGGCTGCGATAAGGGCCAAGGATCTCGGGCCGGCTCTCCGGTGGTGCGAGGACAATTCGTCGAGACTGAGGAAGCTCGAGAGCAAGCTGGAGTTCCGCGTCCGCGAGAGGGCGTTTCTGGAGATGGTCCGAGCTAACAAGAAGGAGGAGGTACGCACACCATAGCGCTTATTGTGTCTATCGCTTGAATGTATGTTGCTTTGTAGGAGGAGGATGTGCTGTTTTTGGTTGTCGCTCGAGTGTATGGTGATCTCTAGGAGGAGTTATTTTTGTCCCTCGTTGGTTCTTGCTTGATTAAATGTTGCAGTGTAGGAGGGTGGTATTGTTGTTCTTTTTGGTTCTCGCTTAACAATATGGTGCTTTGTTTATGTACCCAATGGTCATGACGGCGAATAGAAGTTACGAAATTTGCGCCCCTGGCTGCGTCTGATAGTGATATGAGATTTCCGCGTTATGGCAATGGTCGTTGAGAAGACGCTTTGCGCGAAATTGGTACAGCGATGGCAAATCGTTCTCACGCTAGCGCAAACAACCTCTCCAAGACGGACCCCCTCTCGCGGTCTTCGAGCATTGTTCGGGTTTGGCGTGGACGCGGTCGTGTTGGACAGTTGAGCATTTAGTGGATCACGATAGTTCATGGTGGCCTTCAACACCAAACACCGCTCACGCTAACGCATTTCTTCCAACAGCAATGGCATCAGCCCCTTGTTTCCCGTCCGACATGAACGTCTCCATCGATGCGCACCCGCTTTCTGTCCAATGCTGCAACGTGTCAGTTACACATGATCACATCGCACAACGAACGGCATCGCCTTGGCCACTGGCGCGGCCCACCCCGATCGCTGGCACCAACACCAACAATCGACGGTGTGTTGCAACGGACAGCGTTAAAATCAGGCGGTCCAAATATTCTACCGAGGTTGTGCTGCGGTGTGACTTTGTCACATCACGTCTGACTCGAACGGTTTCGAGTTCGCCTATCGGTTTCACGGCAGCCGTTGCTGCCTACCCCGCTGACACCGACAACAACACTCGCCGACACCCCTGCCACGCCTGAACAACATAACATTGAACCAATCAGGCGGTCCAGTACGCCCGGGACTACCTCCAGCCACACGCTGCGAATCACCAGGCTGAGGTGCAGCGGGACATGGGGACTCTTGTGTTCCCTAACCCGCAGGAGTCGACGGTGCCCGAGTGGGTCGCGCTTTTTCACGATGACAGGTATGGTACGGTATGAATATGGGGTGAAAACGGTACGGTATGGGTACGGGGTGAGACGGTACTGAGGGATATGGGGTGAAACTTTTTTTTTTTTTTCTTCACTTCAAATCAGCGCTCACAGCACTAAATAGTGCCGTTTACTCCAACCCGTGGTCACACAGAAGAGCCCCTCTCTACCCTCCCATCCTGCGGTACTTTGCCTTCGATTTTTAATGCGAGAAGAGTTCAGCACTCTCTTCCCTCTGTGTACACACGAACTAGCGCTATCCACTAGGCCAGTAGCGGAAGCGAGAGAAAAACTCGCTTTGCAAGAAAAGCTCGCTTGCGCCGGGATTCGAACCCCTGACCTGACCTCTTGAAGGTTTCGAGGATACCAACTAGACCACCGGGGCGACTGGTATGTAGTGCCACCATGGCAGCATTTCGAATGTGGCTTCAGCGGTCCTGTCTCGCTGCTCAAGGGCTGTATTTGCAGCGTACCCCACTGGTGTTTTCCCTCTCTTGACCGCGTGACATTACGCTGGATATTACGCCCATTACTCTCCTGTGCGACATGTGGTGCTACTGCTTACCCCGCCTGTGGTTGCACCGTGCTCCCTGCCTCCGCAATGCGTGGCACGAAAAGGTGGGCGGAGCTGGCGTCGGAGTTCCTGATAGAGATGCAAGGCGTGTTCGGCCTCACGCAGCCGTCGATGCTGGAGATTGTGGTCCAGGTGCGACGCGATTTAGAGCAGAACAAGGATGTGTTCGTCGCTTTCCTGTATTTGACAGACCTCCGCCTAGCTTGGTGCCCGTGCTCAGTTTGTAATTTTTGTTCTATTTCAGTTATATTTTTTGTTTTTGCTTCATCTGATGTTTTTGTGTTTTTTTTTTTGCTTTTGTGGTCTCGGGGCAGGCGCCCGCATGCCTTCTTGGTTGTGTTGTGTCGAGTATCATGGCGACGGTGGTGGGAAGGCGGATGTTGCTGGTGGCCCGTGTGACCAGGGGCACGAGTGAATGGACTACCGTAAATGACACAAGATAACACATCCCCTCGACCGATTTGAAATGTCGATTTCGCAACAACAGAAAGAGTCACAGAACCGAAAACGGTGGCGTTGAAGCTTCTCGTGGAGAGCTTTCCGAAAATGCATTGTTTCAATTATGCATCCTCTTCGTCATGCCGTAGTCGAGCTTTGAAAATTGGTCGAGGGGATGTGTTATCTTGTGTCATATACGGTATGTATGTCACGATACGACTACTACTGTAGTACGGCGCACGCTGTTTGCTTGTCCTTTTTTTTTTTTTTTTTTTGAAGTTGTTCTGCTGCTCCCGTAGTCCTTCCTCAGGCGCCGAAGGCGAGTGAGATCCAATGCCATCAAAAGGAGTATCGTCAACCCACACACCATTTGACCCAGCCTCATCCCTATTGAGTGTTGTGTTGAGCGTAGGTTTAGCCCCCGTTGTTCACTCGTGTGGAGTGACGCCAAATTCGGTGCAAGACCCAGCTTGGTTTCTTGATTGTTTCTATTTTTCTGGCATTGTCTCATCTGCAGTAGACTTTATTCAGTATCCGAACAGGTTGCCGATTGGATGCGCTAGGTCGAAGCGAAGAAGCGTCGACATCAATACCCGCAAGCCTTCTTTGGTAGGGCAAGACTCCTCTACGATTTCCTCAAGACCACCCCGCGCTCCCGTGCGCGCGCCGCGCTTTCCCCTCGCACCTGCTCCCATTTTTTTTTTTTTTTTCGCAGAGCGGGGTTTCCGTGGTGAAGACCCCCCAGTGCTCTCAGGATAGCTTCCGGCTCAGTCACTGCCCTACCTGCAGCTCGGAGGGTCGGGCGCTGGCGGAGGGCCTACCTTGCGCACATCACGGGCAGTCGTTCCTCATATGCCGCCAGGTAAACAGATTACGGTTGCACGGCTGCTGCTGGTGCTGCTGACAGAAGAACTACTTCGCAGTGTGTACAATGTCTCCCCACGAAAATGGACAGGACGAAGCTCTGTTCCTCCGTCGTGCTAATTTTACCGGAGTTTATTGGGCGTCTGTTGGTCGTGCCTTACAGTAAACATCGGTTTTCTCTTCCACTGGGCGAAGCACGTAGACTCAGAGCCCTCGTCGTGTATCATGTGGCTTTGTTGACCGCTTATGTTTCCCGAGCCGGTTCGACCTCTTTTTTGGCTGGGGAGCACTAGCCGAGTCTCGTTACCTGCTGGCTCTGGTTCCTCATCTCCTCCAGGACTTGGGTCCGGCTATGGAAAGGCGAACTATTTCCGGTTGAACAAGATGCGCCTTCTCTCTGTGTGAACCCCCCCCCCCGTGCCCTCTGGGTAGTCTAGCTACTCTGAATCAGACGCGCGGCGCCTCTTCCATCCTTCCCCCTGATATTCCTTCCACGCCAGTCGCCTTCCCCCCCCCCCCCCCCGAAATTTGCCATCGGGGTTGGGTTTTCGTCGCTTGGCAGCGATGTTGTATAACAAGCCGATCACTTCGTGAGCTCGGCAGCCAGGTTACCGCTTTTTTTTTTGCCTTTGGTTCTTTTTTTTTGGCGGTAACCATAATCGGTGGTCGAGTAGATCATGTTGTGCGGGGTCGAGAAACCTCACTCCGCGCAACGTGGGATGATCGCACCACGTTGTGTTAAAATGGTCAAGCTTCCTCGAGGCAGTTACACAGTGCTTACAACTGTGTAACTGGAGGTGAAAGCACCAGAAAATAATTTAAGTCATACGTAGCTGTCATCCGTACGCAAGGAAGTAAGCACAAGACCCTTAGCAGGATGCAGCTCACCCTTCATGCGACTCGCCAAATACCTCACGGCGCTTCGCGCTTGGTGATGTGAGAGCCTGGTCCGGTGAGAACCCGGCGTGCTCCGTCCCGGCTTTGTAGGGATGCGAGGTCAATGGTCAAACGACTACGGCATGCACGACTATGAGTACACCCCCCCCCCCCCCTCCCTGCTTGCCCGTTCCCCAGTCTGGAGACCCGATCGGAGACGACAACCCTCCCCTGGTGCTCCCGAACGGTCGTGTGTACGGCTCGAGGGCGATCCGGGCGTTGGCGCGGCCGGCGGCGGGCACGACCGGGGCGGGGGCCGGGGATGCTGCCGCTGCCGCGGGCAGCGGGATTGTGGGGTTCGACGGGACTGTCGGCGGGACTGTTGGGGCCAGCGTGGTGACGTGCCCGTCGACGGGCCAGACGTTCCGTTTCGACCAGCTCCGGAGCGTCTACATAATCTGAAGATTTTTGGTTTTCGGGTTTCCAAGTGCATGTTCAAAGTGGCTTGAGTTGGAAACAACCTTTTGGAACCTGAGTTCAAATCCGGTGTGGTTTCAAAACGCGGAAGAGTTTTTTTTTTCTTCTTCGCTATAATCTTGGTAAATGTTAAACATTGTGGAGTGAGTTCGTGCTTTGTACGCAATAGTTATATTTGCAGTAGAAGAGGGGGGGAACGACTGATCCCTGCTCAACCATCATGAGCAAGGTAGTCACCGCAGAAGTGTAGTGTGGAGGGGGATGTGTGGCGTCCCTCCTGAGTGACCCCCAACTGACTTGCCGCAAGGACCAAGTCCAGCATGAACGGGATGAAAACACTCACACACACGGCGATGGAGCATCTCATCAGGAACCCATGTCTCGGGAAAAGCGAGCGGGGCAAGGGAGTGACAAAAATGTCGGGTCAAAAATGTCGGGTCAACGATAGGCACGTTTCTTGATGCGGCGAAAAACTTCCGCTGCTTTCACCCGCGAAACGAGTTTTGTTCCATGTGATACTGCTCTCGGTCGTTGATCTCTTTCATCGTCATGTCGACCGACTCGGCGGCGGCATCACTTTGGGAGAGGGCGATTTTGTGCAGCTTTCGCTGTTATGTCCACGGGACGTTGATGGGTTTGTCTAGCAATGAACCTCAGTTTTTCTGCTTCGGCAAGCTCCCAAGTTATCATGTTGAACGCAGTTCGTCTATTGTTTGGTTTGACCTTTGACTGTTGATGACATGTTTGTGGGGATTTGGGGACTGCGGGTACTACAACAACAAAGCCGTGGGAGCCTGCATTGTTGTACTTTTGGGTGATCTGCATGTAAATAACATTACAAAGGGAAGCGTTGGATGGGGTGCTGCTGTGCTCCGACTCAGTACGGGCGGCCGTGTTAAGGCCGCACTGGGGATCGCAGTACTTCCTCTTACAAAAAACAGGAAACGCCTGGAAACGCCTGCATATCTCGGTTTTCCAAAGTCTAACTCCAGTACGAAACTGCCATCGTAAATTAACCGTCCGCAGCGGTCGCTTGTGTACAATGTTAGTAGCTGAGGTTGTACCCCTTGCTATACACTACAGACTAGCGGTCCGCGATTTTCCAAACGATCCTTCTATCATCGAGTTCGGTGAGCTACAAGCTAGATTTTTGAAGCTGCTGTGCGGTCCAATTTTGAAACGCTTCAAGCACACGGTGAACACGAATCACCGCCTATGTGAGTGTATGGGGCCACGAACTTCAGCGCAGCTCTTCCCTCACATATCCAGCTGGTCGCCATTGTCGATTTGAATGCCTAGGGTCATGTATATGCATGTCCAGCCTTTAGGAAAAGTGCTTGAAGCGACAGTGTATCGAAAGGGCTACAATCTCAGCTGCTAACATTGTCCACAAGCGACCGCGGCGGACGGTTAATTTACGATGGTAGTTTCGTACTGCAGTTAGACTTTGGAAAACCGAGATATGCAGGCGTTTCCTGGATTTTTCAGAGGAGGTACTGCGATCCCCCCCGCGCCCTTAAGTACGAAGTATTTCGCTTGTGAAGAAAGTTCGTGTGTGTGATGTAGAGTGCACGGGGGGGTACAGGGGGCATAGGGCGCGCCGGCATTGGCTCGCACGCGCTAGGCGCACTTCACGCGAAAGTCTTTACATGTAGTGTTTGTTGCGGTGCTGGCTGACCGTGGCCGTAGTCGTAGGTCGGGCAGCCCGCCGTGCGGATCGTTTTAGTGCACGTGTCTTCCCGGCGTGCTTCGCTCCTTCCGGAAATTTTGAGAGAGATTCGAACTGATTCGAAGCGTGTGGAACCTTTTTCGTTCGCAATCGAACCTTGCGCCCGGAACCAATACTCCATCATGTGATGCTGCACATGTATGTCTGGAAGGCCAGGAGAGATGGACTAGAGGGTACCTGTGAGCCCAGCCGTATACAGCAACGAGCCTCTTGTTCCACTATTATATCTTATGTCTGCTGACGACTATAAGAAAACGCAGTAAATACTGACCCAAGAAAGTTTGATCCAAGACAGGAAATGTGCCGATTTACGTTTCACTCGTGGCTCTCTTTTTCCCATTTTTAATCTTCCCGCGTAGCTGAGGGATGAGCGAGACGATGCAGGAATGGCCCAGAGAACAAGTACGCATGCCCGCCGGTACTATATCGGCGAGACTGAAAAATATCAAGCTGGATGCGGGACTGTCACTTGCGGCCGGACTTTGACCAACAAACTAAACTTGAAACGGTCACACGTGCTGTCAGAAAATCATGGTTTCGGCGGGAAGTCACGTTGCGGCCGCAGCGGGTGTTCTACGTTTGTATTGGAGAGGAGCCACCACCGCCGCCTTCGGCCCTTGCTCTCTAAGCCTGGGGGTTGGAGCAGGCGTGTGAGTAAGGAGACTCAAGTGCATGATTGGCGCCAGCTAGCCACAGGCTAATACGCCGCTGCAATGCTTCGAGATGAGTCCACAGCAAGGAGGTGCAGCAGCGGAGGAGGTGGTGTCGGTGGTGCGCCGGCGGTTCCGCAGGACGATGCTGTCACAAGGTTGAGCCACAAAAAGATGCTTCGACGAGTCAGGTCAGACAGACAAGGGGCTCCTTGCTTGTGGGGTTGATGAAGGGTCGGAACGATTTTGCCACCCAAGGGGGTTCGACCGCAGAGGTATATACCAAGGTACCGAATTTGAAAAACGATACTTCGCGACCATCTCATCGTGGTTTGGCTTGGGCAACCAACCAAAGCACGCAGCAGCACACAGACCAGCAGCTGTAGAGTGTGGAGTGTTGTGGAGAAGGCCCGCGGCGTGTGTACGGGAACGTGTGATCCTTGAAGGGTGATTGACTGCTACTGTACAAACATCATGCTCGAGCAGCAGTAGCAGCAGCAGCTTTCGCCGAACTTCGACAGCAGTATCACCAGCACCTGGATTTGCTCTATAGCTACATGGCAGCATGTATGCCGCGTGTGTGCATATAGTCTACAGCAGTACGACGCCAACTCATTACTTAGACTATTTTATTGAATATTTTCTTCAAACCAAGGGTACACTTGAAAAAAAATTCAAGACACATGCATTGTAGAATAGTCCATGTAGGCCTACTATACTATGTAATCGAAAATCGGGGTCATTTGGGGGGGGGGGGGGGGGGGACCCAAAAGCCTGGATGCCCGAACCCGTTAAACATTGGACCCCCAACCCCACAAA